TTGGGACGTTTCATGGTGGGACATCGCTCATTTGAGATTGCGTCTTTTCGGAGGGGTTTGCGCGAGCAACCTTATCGCAGTGAACGGTACCTAAGAAGGCCAATTAAGGTACTACAGATACGCAAATGGGCCTTGGTTACTTGGTTAGGCACCTCGGCATGAATGCAGGCGCCTCGGCAATGCAATTTTGGGGGCGACCTAACCGGTTTAAACTGGTTAGGTGCCTGAGGATGTGTCGTGTGTTGAGTAACGTACGTTCGAGACGACTAAGAGAGGACCGACGTCCGACTATTCTCTCAAACCTAGCCGCTGCTTTTAAGAGAGAACGTCTGGTAAGAGTGTTCTGCCAATAGTTTGGAAAAGAATGAGTTATAGTTCGGTGTAATAACAAAATGAACCCGACACGAAACACACGATCCCACTCAACCGACACAAGCGACCACATAGGGATTTGTTCCTTTGTGTGAGGTGCCTCGAGTGCGTAGCTGTTCGCAGGCTGATAGTCTCTGTGAACGAGGTGTCCGCTCCCCACCCCGACTTCATACTCATGTTGCTCGGCAATTCCGTGTCTCACTTTAAGTCACTGATGTGTACAAATGTCTCTACAACTCCTTTGGTTCTTTCACTAAAACTTTTACTTGCTTATATTAGATAGATCATCTGTGAGTTGTTACTTAATACTAGTCACCTTTACCGGTACGTCACCTGAAATTCAAATCATTTTCATTTCTCCGGATAATCCTTATTCAGATTAAAAACCTTACGTTTTGATTCCATCAAACTAAGAAGTGTGTGACACGGTGTGACATATGGAAGAATTGTACGTTTACTTCGAGTATAGAAGAATGAGATTCTTAGTCCGTAGTCGTGCACACTATTGATGCGTCGATAACATCCTAAGTTCAAGTAAAAACTGATATGACGTCTTTGTTCGAACGCGCTCCCCTACGAAGAGGACGGACCACCCTTGCTGATAGCTTACGCGAAACTCGTCGTGTCAACCTCGTCCAACCTGTCTCGCTCGAGGAGTCGAAAGAGGTCGTCTACTTCGCGCTTGTGGAGGCGCTACGAGACATGCTGTCACTCTCTCTCCCCCTATTTTAGTCGTGTCTTTCAGTGTGCCCCATTTAGTTTAGTGAGTTAATGGTCCGTCTGCCTTGACTGTCAGTATCGTGTGTGTCCAACTCACTTCTTCACCTGCAATACTCCAATCCAACTCCTCACGTACATCTAAATATGTTAAACCGTCTATTCCCAAATATAACATATGTCCATTTACACTCTACCGCTCGAGATTAGCGATAGGAGCACAAAAGGTTCTGACAGTTCACGCCAACCCACAGAACTAATTGCTTACTCGGCAGACCGTTTACATGCAGAAAAACCTTCATAACACACAAGGGGACGGGTAATAACCGGAAAAGCATGACATGGGAGCTTTTAATACATTTTCTTTTTTTATGTGGAATATTTGAAGTGGTTGATAAATATACATTTGATGTAGAAAGTATTTATTGCAGGATAAGCAAATAAACTACTACACACATGTTCATAGTATGCTATTGATCCATGTTTGGATAACAATGAAGCACTTTGGCGTCAGAGGAATAAGATGTATTATATACTTTGGTCTTTTCACAGGATTTACTAATAATATAATATGGAGTCTAGGCGGCTGTATCCTGAGGAGAATCACGTGTATTTGAGAATCCTGTTTGTGTTTAGATTAAATGATGATTTAACTTTAATCTCTTGTTTGACAGCGGTGGCTGACGGAGCAGAGAGCCCAGTGTCCACACTGTCGGTAAGAGCATGCTAACACAACCCTCGCTACTGTATGTCAGTGTTTAGAGTGTGTGTAACTTCACCCCCAATTCATCATAGAAATGTAATCAGAAAAAAGGGCATCACATCCAGTTGCATCTTCAAGATCCAATACTTGCCATTTCAATGAATTTGATTTGACGAGTATTTCTAAAACACACCTCGAATGACTGTAGTGAAGTAAAGGGCATTTGTGGTAAGGTATTACAATGAGTATTTGTGTGTGTGTTCATGTACAGAGCTCCGCTCCAGCTGAGGGAGCTGGTGAACTGTCGCTGGGCAGAGGAGGTGACCCAGCAGCTGGACACCCTGCAGCTGTGCAGCCTCACCAAGCACGAGGACAACGACAAGGACAAGTGAGCACCCCCCCTGTCTCCTTCCCCACCCCTATGGCACTCGGTTAAAGCATTTCAAAATGTATTTAGATGATTTTTAATTGTAGCACTACCATGTATGACACTCGTCCTGTGATTTCTTACCAAAAACTGTTTATAATTTGTTTTAAAGATTAGTTTATATACAGTTTTAACAGGAATTGGGAGCAAATTGTGGCAAAAATTCTCCGGAAATACCCAAATTCCTAATTCCTGATATAACCGTGCACACTTCTAGATGTTATCCATCCCTCCTTTAGCATATTCATCATCTCCATCTCCTGCATTTGATAAAGCTTGATATGTTTGTAGAAACAGGCCAAATCTTTTAGCGTTGAAGTTTCTGTGTGACAAGCAAGTGTCATTGGATGATTCCTTTGCAGATGTGATAACCACCGTGAGAAGCTGAGTGTTTTCTGTTGGACCTGTAAGAAATGCATCTGTCACCAGTGTGCTCTGTGGGGAGGCATGGTAACGTTTCACATCTTTTTATTTGAAGATTACAGCTTGCATGCCAAATTACAATACTGACAATGCCAATTTATTAGAAATCAGGCTGCAACTAATTTCTATTTATTTTATCTGATGAATATGCGGAATATTTGTGACACGCTCTATCGAAATCAGTCGGAAGTCGCAACGGCTCATTTCAAAATAAACGTGGATTTGTGTAAAAAAATAGTTTTTCGGGGTTCGGGTGTTTTTGTTTGATTTTAAATAAACAAAGTCTTGGCTTTCAGAACATGAAACTTTTATTTCCAAAATCACACGATAAATACATGTTTGAAGCTTGTAAAGGGAAGATGAGAGCTCTCACTCGCCACTCTGCTGTTCTGCAGCGCTGCTTCCCCTCCCTCCCGCTGAAATTATGAACGTAAGGCGTATCGTAATCATAGATAACACGGCAGGGTCCGTTACAATTTGTTTTCATCTGATTTCAATTAAACAAAGTCTTGGCTTTCAGAATATTAAACTTGTTTCGGCAAATTCAGATGATAAATACAACTTTGAAGCTTTTAACGGCATAATTACAAGCGGAGAATGGAGTAACTTGACGTCACAGCAGGCATAACAGCCGGTGTTTCTCATGAGTGTTTTCCCCGGGAAACAAACACAATACACACAAACGCAAAATAACACAAACACACACACACGTATACTAGGGGTTTCACAACTACCAATATTTACTAGTCGACTAGTTTTTCAAAATAGTAGTCGACTAGTCGTTACGTCATAATAAAGACACACAAAGAGAGGTTTACAACTGTATTTTCTATTGGAACTCATACAGTAACATTAAACACTGCATTTTAATTTGTGTTACATGGCTGAGTAAATAACAAACACTAGACTCACCAAAATCGACAGCAAAAAACTCTTGTTTACATAAATGCCACGTAAATCCAGTGCGCAACAGCGCATTGCGCAACACTTTATTCGCTGTCCTCCACGATAACGTCCACCTTTCCATATTTTTGGTTTGAACACCAACGCATCGACATGTGAGGGAAGGAGGCTTGACCGCTTTCGGGTGACAGTGTTGCCTGCCAGGGAAAAAACCCTCTCACTCGGGGTGCTTGTGGCTGGAATAGCCAGGTAGCTCCTCGAAAGCGGGGGAAGCGGTGCACGTTTTCTGCCCACCACTCCAGTGGATTATCCATTGTGGGGATATGCGGTGTCCGCTGGCAGTAATCCCGTAGCTCATCATCCGCATCACTGTTGACCCGTGTTTTCTTGCTGTTCGTTTGCCTCTGTTCAGTGCTGACGCCGGTCCGTTGCTCACTGGTGCTAGCATTACTGCTAGTGCTAGCTGTCGGCAGCGGGTGTTTCATCTTTAGATGGTTGCGCATAGCAGATGCATTTGTATTGTACTTCAGTACAGCTGTACACAACTGACACTTCACTGTGGAGTTGGTTACATCTTCGTTGAAGTACTGCCATACAACACACGCCCTCTCCTCTCACACACAAACACCAAACACACACACGGACACAAACTCTTCTCTCCACCACATCATCTCTCTCTCTCACACACACACACACACACACACACACACGACACACCAACGCCATCCATTTGCTCCACGACGTTTTACGATGGTTTGACACTACACACACACTGCACGGCGTACGAACAACACACACACACACCACCACACACACGGCACACGGCTAGGCGTAAG